AAATAAAAATGTGCAATAATCAGCTAGAAAACCGTTGCTGAAGTCGCTGCAAGCAGCCAACTAGAAACTTATACCAAAAACAACAATAACCACATATTAACACAAGCCGCCGTTTTGGGGTATAGCGAAGTTGTACAACAACAGCAAAAAGGATTCAAAACGCGCTATCACTAAGGAGCAAAGCAAAGTTTTTGAATATGACATAAAAGTGAGTTCCTTACTGTTTTGATTTTTCAATATTTATTTTCAACTAAAATATAGTATATGTATATTTTTTAAGTAAAAAAGCTATGATAGTGAAATTATTAAAAAAAAAAAAGAAATATTGCTGCCTAATCAGATACACGCTCAGCAAACGTTTAATAAGTGAATTGCAATTCAAAATATATACAAACATAAAAGATGTTTGCTGAAATATTAAATTTTTACTAAAACTTTCTCACTTTACTTTATTACTTTACAACGCCAACATAGAACTCAAAAAATGCGAAATAGTTAAAAATAGTAATGGAAAATGCGCAAACACGCGCAATTAAGTTTGCATTTCATCAAAAATAAATGACCCTCAACCCACAGCGATCYCTACTGCCCCCTCTTTTGTGTACGCGCCTGATTCACCGATTTCTCATACACATTCACATACGCATATGTGTGTATGTACATAAATATATTTTAGCACTCAATAGTGCGCTAATATGTATCACAAAATCTCTCCGCTTCCGTCATTTTCGCTCGTTTTATTTATCCTCACAACTCATATTACGCTCTTTCGTGATTTTCTCATTTATGTACTTTCGCATATCCTTTTAACATGTCCTWCGTTGTCAATTCAGCTTCGAAACAAACGCCAGTCGTTGCTGCTGCTCACTATCGCATTTGCCATGTAGTAGCTCTACAACGAAATATTGTGTGTTTGTTGTAATACTTATTATACTACACATACAGTGTATGTATGTGTGTATGTTTATACGTATAGAAATATGATATGATTATATGACATTTATGCTGCTGTATCCTTTTCGGTTTCGCTCTGTTTTTCATGCTTGTTCTTCGTTGCTGTTTTCGTTGTTGTTGTTATTAGTGATATTGCCAATCTGGTTGGGTGGTGGTACAGTTTTATTGAACGTGCACATATTTGTATATATTTCGGTCGCCCGTCTGTCGCATCCTCGTGTATGTTCTTACTTGTCTCTGCGTGTGTGTGCGTGTGTACGCATTTATTTGTCGTATATCTCATCAAAAAAGATACATRTGTATATGCACATTTGCATAGATAAACATATTAACGCGTCGCTCTCGTCTCTTGACATAACTTTGATCAGATTTTAATGCAAAGGGAAAYATGCAAATTTTATGTGATTGTGCTTTAAAGGCTGCTTCGAGCGTGTTGAAAATGTAGTCTGGTTTAATATATATTTTTCTTTAAAAGTGTTTTCCTCTTATAAATGATGATAAAATGGTTAATTCAAAAGTAATCAACCAACTTAATATAGTCTAAATCATAAAATTCGATCGACGTTGCACTTTAATTGGTCAAACACATCAGGGCTTAAAACATTGCCCAACAAGATGCTAATGGGTCATATATTCATAATTGATAATATAATAAGTCTAGTAAATTGAAAATATTATATCTACAATTCTTTAACAATTCCAGGTTATTAAAACCTTAATTTTTTTAACTTCGAAAATTTTCGAATTTTATTTTTTTTCGCAATTGACTTTTTTTAAATGGATATGGAATGGATAGGTCTAAATTACTTATTCTGGGTTTAATTCATTGCTTAACAACAATTGCCCAGAAGAAGGTATGTCACTTATTCATAGTCGAAAAGAAATTGAGGCCTCAAGATTTAAAATATGAAATTCATATTCCTTTAGTAAATCTAGAAAATTGAAATTAAAATGTTTATAAACTTCGAAAAAATTTTGAACTCGATAATTCATCTTTCTAAGCATGCAAATTTTAAAGCTAAATAAATTCCTATTCTATGAATTTTCGAACATATGCGAACTCGAATTTGATTAAATWCAATCTTTCAAAATATACTCAACTGTATCAACAAAATCGTAACCTTTAGTTAAAATATAGACATTAAAAGTGTTTCGAAGTCTAAAATAGTTTAAAAATATGCAAATTAAATTACATACTTACAGTAGGTAGAAAAAATAAGTTATCAAAACGCTATATACTTTTTCGCTTAATTGAATGGTATATGCTCGAAAAGGTTTGTTATCAAAGTACCGTTATTGATGACTTTAGTGGCAACCGCTTATCTGGTAAGAAATTTTCGTGGATTTCTATAGAACTGCTCAGTGACAAAGCGTATAAAAGTAAGTTATCAAGTGCAGTAATCAGTGTCTCCATATTAAAATTTGAAAATAAATTACAAAAAAGCATTAAACATGCAARAATAGTTTATTTTATAAATTTTGAAATTGAATTGGTAACTAAAGTTTTCGTGTCTTTTTAATTTAGTTTTTTGAAATATTTAGGCGGTTTTTTTACCGTAAATTTTAAAAAATCTAAAAATGGTGAATTTTAAAGTACTAACGAATGAGGAACGTTCAACCATAATTAATTTGCATAAAAATGGTCACACGCAGCGTTATATTGAGGACATATTAAAATCTTAAAATTTTTGACAMAAGTGCTGTGGACTGATGAATCAATAATTTGTCTCCGTTATTCCCACTGTATGGTTAACGTTTGGTGCTCATCCGAACTAACCCACAGTTAAATCGGTGGAAAAGGGCTTAATGGTTTGGGAATGCTTATCTGCGAATGGCCCTGGTACTATTGTAACCCTGGAAGGAAAATTTATTGCTGCAGTTTATTTAAATATTTTCAAGCWGCACGCCATCCCCGAGGGTCATCGACTAATTGGGCCGGATATCCTTCTTCGACAGGACAACGCGTCCATTCATGCTGCAAAAATCATCACAGAACATCTACAAAATGAAAATGTGAGTGTATTGAAATGGCCTCCTCAAAGACCTGACTTGTCACCAAGCGAAAAAACTTGGGCAATCCTTAAGATCCGWATGACTGAGGAGAAACCCTAAAACTTGGTTGATTTGAAGAACTGCATCTATAATATTTGGAATAATTTACCTCAAAATGATTGTTTGGAGCTTGTTAACTACATAAAATAATGATTGGGTCAACTAGCAAGACGTAATTATGGACATTGTGGATATAAAACAATTTGATAACTTATTTTTTCTACATGCAATTAACTGTGTGTGTGTATGTTTTCCTTTTATAAAAGCAATGAACTTCTCTTTTGTTTTAAAATTACTTTAATTAGATACTTTGAAATATGGTCTCAATAAAAAAAAGATATTTCGTTTGAAAAATATAAACTTTTAAATTTTATTCGCTTCGCTAATTTATATTTCACTTTGATAACTTACTTTTTCTACCTACTGTATGTTTTGAACTTCGAAAGTGTTAGACCATGCGATTATTTTGAGTTTCTGAAATATTTTTTAACTCTGAAAGTATATGGAAGTTCATATATGATCACTTTATGTAATATTTTATCAGAAAAGTGAAAATTTTATTCAGAGACTCGTATTTTTTAAGTTCGAAAAAATTCGAATATATGCAAACTATCTGAAATTTACATAAAATTAAAAACTGCCAATATTTTACAAATTCTTGGCTACAATATCGGTATATTGAGCATTTAAACGAAATTGTTTTCAAATTGCAAGGTTTACGTTATCTCACACACTAGTTTATAAAAAAAAAAAAATAAAAACATTCTACACTCAGTTACCAATATTTTAACCGAAATTTCGTAGTTTTGGGTGAACAAAAAAGAAAAAATGCCAACACCGATAATTTACAAGAGGAAGGAAAAATCTACAAATTTCAAGCAGAGTATGCGTGCATACCTAATTGCACATTCTTTGTATTTAACCAAAAAAAATTCAATACACTAAATTTTTKCCTGCACTTCTTGGCACATTAATTACCGTTCAGCGGAGTTGGCTATAGCTTCATGCCAGCTGATGGATTTGTTTGCCGCACCAGTTGTTTGCGGGACGCGAAATAATGTCTGTCATTGGACTTCTGGGCGAAGGTAGCCGAAGAAGGAAGAGCGCAGGCAAGGCGACCGGCCAAACAGCCTGTTTTATAGAATCCATGTACTTGCATACATATGTGTGTGTATGTGCCTTGAGTGGCACAACAAGCCGACTGCCGCGTACTAGTGCGCATGCAATTACACTAACAACAACAATAGCAACGAAAATATGAGCAAGTATCAGCACCGGTGTTTTCAAACAGATTGGAACTGCACGGTTACACGCTTGTGTTGCAGCTGCCAGCATTGTTGTTGAATTGTTGTTGTACTATGCTATTAGAAGCACAGAGGCGCATATTTGTTAATTTCTGTGCGCGAGCATATCCRTGTTACTATTTGTGTATGTGTTGAAGCGTTTCCTTTTTGTAGCTTTGTATGTGTGTGTGTGCATGTAATCCTGGTACTTACTGCTGTTGTTTTTGCTCTAGTTCTACTTAGCTGCTTTTATACCTACAGACACGAATAAGTCATACACTTGGTGAGGTTTTTCCATTTTCGAACATCGCGCAGCCTGTGTAGCGAATACGTTGTGTTTGTTTGTTGTTGTTGTTATTTTTTGTAAAATTCTCATATTTTGATTATTATGGCGTGGGTATTGTTATTACCATTGCTATATAGTGCATTGTGTGCGTTCGAAGTTGCCGTCTGAGCGCGTGTGTGCGCGCGCGCGCACTTGTGTGAGTGTGTGTGTGTGCACTCACACTRAATGCTTGCAAAAGCGCTTAAATGGCTTCATTTACAACTATGTATGTATGTCTAACTCATTTGCATGGAAATTGAATTCTACAAATTTGTTGGTCTTGAGCGCGCTCGAAATACGAACAAACGGTTTAATGTTGAAAGAGGTTTTGAAAATTGTTTTTCTCTATACCGTTTTGCTCTTACCATTATATTATTCTCTTGCAGCCATTAATAAAATCGTAATCGAAAAGCAAATAAAATAAACGTTGCTATAACGGTTAAATACATTTAGCGAACGCGTGTGTGTGTGTGTAAGTGCATGTGTGACAAGCATTGCACTTAAATAAAGAAGCACAACACACAAAAAATGTCKTCATCCAGCGTAGATGTACCGCGGATTATGGTCTTTCGACCGACTTGGGAAGAATTCAAGAATTTTCCCAAATACATCGCCTACATGGAATCACAAGGCGCACACAAAGCCGGTTTGGCCAAAGTAGTGCCACCACCCGAGTGGGTGCCACGACGCAGTGGCTACGATGACCTGGATGCACTCAACATAACCATACCGGCGCCGATTTGTCAGGTGGTGACCGGCAAACAGGGTCTCTATCAACAAATCAACATACAGAAGAAACCACTCACCGTGAAGCAATTCAGTGAATTGGCGTCCACAGAGCGGTATCAAACGCCCAAACATTTTGACTTTGAAGATCTCGAGCGTAAATATTGGAAGAATATTACCTATGTAGCGCCGATATATGGAGCGGATGTTAGCGGTAGTATTACAGATGTGGATCAGGATGTAAGTATCTGAGCACAAAAACAAAATGAATATAAATTGTTTGAACTATTTTTTTCACTTACTCCACAAAGAGTTGGAATATAAATCGTCTGGGCACAATAYTGGACTTTGTTAACGAGGATTACGGCATTCAAATTGATGGTGTGAATACGGCATATTTGTATTTTGGYATGTGGAAGACCACTTTTGCCTGGCACACCGAAGATATGGATCTCTATTCGATAAACTATTTACACTTTGGCGCACCGAAGACGTGGTATGTCGTTCCACCCGAACATGGGCGCAAATTGGAGAAGGTCGCGAATCAATATTTTCCGGCAAGCTATCAAAATTGCAACGCATATTTGCGGCATAAAATGACACTGATCAGTCCGCAAGTGCTTAAGCAACACGATGTGCCAGTGAGCAAAGTAAGTAGTGTGAAGGGAGTTTGTTTTTCGTATAGGTGACACTGGTGTAACTGGCGCGAGAATTATTAATAAATTTTGATTGAAAATTCACTCTAGAAAATTTTCAAAAATCAATTGTGCTCAAATTAACTAACAAGTATTTGGTGCGAATAATGTGTCAAAATGGAAACGAAAATATTTTAATTTGATATGTTTGTGTAGATGAAAATTGAGAATCTTCAAAAATTTTCGAACATGTGAAAATCATATGTATATGCATAGGTATATAATACATATATTTACTACTATAAATAAATATGAAGTAAAGCATTAATAGTTCAAATAGTTCAAAATATAATATAAAAACTTTAATGATTTTCGAAAACATTTTACTGGAAAATGTTTTTGATACAAATGGTTAACATAAAAAATATCGATACAACAAAGATATATACATATATTGTTTTGTAATACTAAAGCAATTACATTTTCATTTATGATTATAAGCATCTGCGAATGTTAGATTATCTGAGAATCTTAATAGTTGAAATTTGAAATATTATAAAAATGCTTAATGCTAGCAACAAAGCATAAAAAATATAGAGGAACCTAAACAAGTTTTTAAAAATTAAAATTTCGAAAAAATTTCGAACTTCGAAATTGTTCATGTATGCTAAAATAGTAAAATTGCTTTAGACTATTTTATGTTCAACTTTTAAGACAAAAATTGTTATSTGATTTTCCAAATACTCAAATAAGTTTGCCAGTTATGCTATTTTCTACCAAATCGAAAGTACTCTGCCCAAACTGTTAAAGCAAACGCTTTCTATATACGCAAACTTCCTCACAGATAACACAAGAGGCTGGTGAAATAATGATAACATTTCCTTTCGGCTACCAYGCCGGCTTCAATCATGGTTTCAATTGCGCCGAGTCTACAAATTTTGCTATGGAACGGTGGATTGAATATGGAAAACGTGCCGTTCAATGTACCTGCAGGTACGCTATTGCACTAATTTACATATACACATAAAAGCACCTTAATTATGAAAACAATTTCCCATATAGCAACGATATGGTTAAGATCTCCATGGACACATTCGTGAAACGCTTTCAGCCCGACCGCTATCAGGCGTGGCTGGAGGGCAATGATGTGGGCAGACATCCGGAGGATCCGCCCAGTGCTGTAGCCGCAGCACCACTACCATCACATTTGGATGTGACATGCAATAAGAAGTAAGTGGGCCACACTAACACAAGTCCGSCAAATTCATTTCTCTTATACGCCTTGTAAGCGTGTACTAATATTCTGTTTTCTTTTTTAAAAACAAACACTGCCATTCGCGGCCCTTAGTCATGGGGCTGACAATATACCAATGCACGTAATACAAAGAATGAAGAAACAATGTAACCCTACAAAAAAGAAGTCATTCAAAGAGCGCAATCCTGACTTGAATTTAGAGGAGATACAACTAAATCCCAACATACCCGATGAGGTTAAGGCTGTACTGAAAGAGAGCGTACTCACACTCGACGCTGAGGACGAAGAGCCGGCCATAATCGGTGACGGTGAACCTGAGTTACTGATTCCACTAAGYCCAGCTAATTTGAAGACCAAAAAGGAATTATTAGACTACATCGATGATGGCACAGGTGGGCGGCAATTCTATCAAGCACGCTGCMTCAGCATATTATTTTTTATATAAAAATTGTAATTTGTTCTCTATACTTTCAGATGAAGATGAGGAGGAGGAGTTTCGTAAGCGTCGTCATAAGCGCAAACATCATTCCGATTATGATGATGATTGGTTCACCAGCAAACGGCGTACGAATTCACGMAATAGCAGTAAAGGTCGTAGTCCGCGCAATAGCAATAAAGACGATCGCTCCATATCGCCGGCATCKTCAACATCCTCATCGTCACGTGCACGTCGTCAGCCATGTACGACGCCTGGCAAAACGCCACGCAAGACGCCAAATCGCCGAAAGAAAGACAATGCAGCGACAACACCAAATGCTACCGCCGCCACGACAGTGCTCACAAAAGCGACACAAATCGAGGCTGTGGCAAACGTTCTGAAAACCGCAGCAGCCGTTTCGCAAGCGCTAAGCGGACAATGCAGTGATGAAAATGGCAATAGCAATAGCAACAGCAGTGGCGGTGTTGCGAGCACACCAGCGCCCAASGTTGAGACACCAGCTGTAGCCGTGACCGTGTCAGCCGTAGCTGCTGCTGCCGATTTGGCGGGAGGTGAGGCAATTAGCGAAATAAAGGAGCATTCACTATTTATCTCACCCGCAAATGGCTACAATCGCAAATGAAAAAATCCTTTAACCCATTAAAATCACAAATCATTCTTTTGTTTCTAACTACTTATTTTATAGCATCACATTGTGTTAACACACTATTCTATTTACTCTTATGCTATTTCATATACTCTTATATTTAGTGTCTTTTATATTAAACTTTAACATACTTCATACAAACATACATGCATACCTGCTAACAAAACACATATGCGTACAGCAAAAACAAAAAAATCAGAACAGAAATTAATTCTTTTCATTTTAGATCGTTCTTGCGCAAATATATATTATATATATATATAGCGAATTTCCTCATTCATTTAATTTTAATATTTATTTCATTTAAATACCTTTGTATATGTATGCTTTTAACTCATCATTTATATTTTATACATCTGTATGTGTGATTTTATTAACTTTAGACAATTGATTTCTCATTTTATGTAGGGTTTTGTTTTACCTTCTAGGTTGTAAATATATACGCAARTTATATCCATATATGCATAAATATGTTTAAAATAATGCAAATGCCATTTTATTAGGTTAACTGTAAAACGACGCTAGTTCCAAAGTATCTTCACGTTGAAATTGAAAACGTAGACGAATAAGAAAATAACAAATTTGAAGTGAAAACTTTTACATATTCCTGTATTAAACTCTTTTTGGTTACTATGTTGTTTATATTTTTTTCTTTATAAATTTTAACTACCAAATTGTATTTTTTTTCTTCTCCGTTTATTACTTCTGCGACTTGTTTTTCTTTTGAGAACAGATTTTAACGAAGTCAACTCCACTCAAACGTACCGTTACTGCCTATCTATTGGTTTTAGTTTTATATTCTTGTTTTTTTTTTTTTGTTGGAAATTTTGTATTTGTGTGTATTCTTTTCTGGCCGCCGTTGTATTCCCTTAAATTTAAGCGATGTTTAGTATGTACTGTATGTTTTGTATTTGCCCTGCAAAATGTGGTCGCGCTTTGTATGCTGCGCTCATTTGCATATATTRTGGAACTCATTTGATGGTGAATGATGATGAAGATGATGATGTTGTGAAATTTTCTGATTTTTGTTCTGAAATGCTCAACGGAGAAATATACTTTTTAGTGTAAGCGAAAACCGTGTTGTTTGGTCTTTTCTTTTATTTATGTGGCCCATCGAACAATTCGACAAAATTTTAATTGGTAGAAATTGTTTTCGAAAATAGCGTTTGGCGAAATTATTTGTGTATTTCTTTAGCGTTTCCAGGTGGACATTTTGTGTTTGGCTTGTTTGTTGTTGGTTACAGGTTCGTTGAAAATTTGGTGTGAGAATTGCACAATATTGAGATTTTGAGGTTTCTAGTGATACACAATTTATTAAGATTACGCCGGGATTGTTTTCTTCACTCTTCTTAATTTAGCGGTTTGAATTGTGGGCATATTCATCTTTTAAATTTGAAAGTTGTGGCTTGTCTTTCTAGAAAGTTTATAAGATAATCTGTCATTGTACTCTTAATTGGCGGTAGCCATACAAGTTTACTCACTCCTTCATTTTCCGTTATACTACTACTTTTTCTCCTTTCTATTTCCTTTCCCCTTCCGCACCAACTATCGCCAGCAATTGATTGCTTCACTTGCCCCGTTTGTGAGCGTGTATCTAACAAATGAAATGAAAAAAGTTAAATTAACAACAGCGAAATAAATTTTACATGTTCATACATCTTACGAAACAAAAAAAAAAAAATAAATAAAAGCTAAAAAAAAAAAAACAAAAAAAAAAAAAAAAAAAAAAAAAAAAAAAAAAAAAAAAAAATAAAAAATAAAAAGAATCAAAACCACAATTCATGTACAAAATTTTACAACCAAACCCAAAATAAAACAAAAAAAAAGCGAAATTGTAAAAATTGTACAAAGTAAAATTTCCGCTTGAAAATGTGAGTCTTCTTGACTATAACTTTTGATTGTCATAATTCATTGCATGTTTTTCAACACTTCTTGTAGGTAACGGCAGTTTAGCAGTCACAACAAATTCAACTACCACAACCGCGCACACTCCCGTAATACGTGTGGTGCGTAAGTTGAGCGATCAGCTAAGCAATCACAACAACGATCTCCCCTCTGTGCCGAGTGTGTTGCAGTTCATGCAACAAACACGTAAATTCGAGGGTAAAATACCGAAAATCGGTCAACAAGTGAATTTACAACGCGCCCAACTGCTCATAATGCCAACAACATCGAACGCTTCGACCGGCTCCACTGCTGTTGCTAATACCACTAACGCCATAACAACAGCAACAACATCTAGTCAGCAACAACAACAACAGCAACAGCAGCTTGAGCAGGAGCAACAACAGCAAACAATTGTTTATACAACAATGTTGCCGGCAGCAAGCACATTGAATGGCATCGTTGCACAGCAAAGTGCGCAGCAACAACAACAGCAAACACAATACATTACAATACCCGCCACATCGTCGGCGTCGGGTGCTAATAGCACGGACGGCACTGTTTATCAGTTGCAAAGYGAAATTGTTTGCGATGCAGCTACATATCAGCAACAGCAGCAACAACAACAGCAACAGCACGAACAGCAGCAACAACAACAACAATTGACTGCACAAAGCATYAACGGCAATACAATTGCTGTAACGTCGGCCGCCGCAGCGCAAGGTAGGTGTCTCTGCCSCGCAAAGTGCCCGTGGCCATAATAATTTGCCTACTTAGTATGTAGCTGTAYGTAGAATGGTTTTGATTTGCAACTAACATTCGTTTTATTTGGTTTTATTTGTAAATGTGAAGTTGTTATTGTCTGTAGTAAGCTGGCTTTGAATAACACTTTTTCTTATTTCATTTACGTTTGGCATTTCCTTTGATTAATCAAGTCGCTGTAATTCTGACGTTATTATAGCAATATTTCCCAAAATCAGTTGGTTTTTTTTTTTTAGAAAATGCGTTAAATGTATAACTATATATGGCATATACAATTTTATATGAGACTTTTTTGGTATTCATAAAAAGAAATTTAATACTACTGTGATCAAATTGAAAGGTGAATTTTGTCCATTTCATCTCCTTCAAAGTAATTCCCTCCCGCTGCAATACACTTATGCCAATGAATTTTCCAGTCATCATAGCACTTGGTAAAACCTTCCGTCGTGATGGCCATCAGAGCCTTCTTCGATTCAGCTTTTATATCCTCAATTGAGTCAAATGGTGTCCTTGGAGTGGTTATGTGAACTTGCTGAATAGCCAGAAGTTACACGAAGGTAAATCAGGCAAATGCGGTAGCTGGATCACGAATAACCAATGTACTATGAGATGTTGCTTTATCGAATTCACTTTTAGAGCCTCACAAAACGACGAGTATCTCAAATACTAATAAATATTTTGACGTGAAATTTAGCATAGATGTCACTAACAGTACTACCAACGTACACAAAAAATTGTACCGATTCGAAAAACCCGCGAAGTATAAATTAAAAATTCACCTTTCAGTTTGATCAGAAATTAATATATTTCATAAAGAAAAATAAAATTTTAAATAACTCCACATAGCTCAAAAAATTAAAAATAAATACATACATGTATTAAAATAAATAAATAATATTAATAATTATAGAAAGCAATAATTCAAATATTATTAAAAAAAATTATTAAAGTATTTAACGTGAAACCAACTGTTTTAAATTTTTAAATAAATAGTTTTTTGCAATTTTTTTATATATAATTTTTTATTTCAATTTATATATTTTTCATTTAACCTTTTCATTAATGTTTAATTACTATTTTTTCTTTTTAAAGTCCATTTCAATTCTTTTCCATTYACCATTATTAAAGTCATGCTGCAATTATCTAACCCATTACCGTAATACCTCGCTGCGAAGTTCATTTAAGTTATGATTTTTTTTTTTCAATGTTACTAATTTCACACTGTGCTAACTAATAAGCAAAGTTTCGAACCATATTTTTCATAATTAAATCTAGGCTTCATTTGTTTATTTACAACTAAATTTAAACATTCGAAATTCTATCTCGGTTTTAGTTACAAAAACCAAATAAAAAATTTTGTTCCGCCATTTTTAAAGCAACTTTTCAATGTTAAGATATTTAGTACTCAAAATATAGTAACATCTTAAACATGTTAAGTACTAATTCTGTTTTAATTTCACTTCTTTATTCCCATATAATGAAATTCTTGAAATGCTAAAATATTTATTGTAATTTTTTTTTCTCCTTTCCAATATGTTTATATATTTCATTTCATTTTATTTCTTCAATATCAAAATATACGAAAATATATACAAATACAGCTTTAGTCCAACAGCTGTTCATTGCCAGAAATTCGTAAGTTCCCTAAATGGAAATATTTGCCAAAACATATATTGTTTACCACAGCAACACTGTCATACTGATATACCTTTTCATTCAAAACTTAAATTGAATCTAATTTTACTCAGATCTTTTTCGCACAGTTATTTTTAATTAAGCAGCAATAAATACATGGTCCAACTATTTTTTACGAGATTCCATTTTGAATTAAAATTTAGCGCACATTTCAAAAATACCAACTTTTGCCTCATTCTGAAAACCGTTTATAGAAGGAAAGAAAATTTCCTTGCATTTTTTCATATAATTTGCAAAACAATACCCCTAAAAGGAGTTTAAGCCAATTACTGCTTCACCTACTTTTAGGCTTGGTTATAAACCGAATATCAATCAATGACTTCAAGAACGTTTTTCGGTCATAAAAATAGAAATGTATTTAACAATTTCATAATGAGCAGCAACAAATTACAACAGAAATACAAAAATGGACATTATATACATTATTATTTTTAATTAGTTTTAATAATGATTTTGTTATTAATTACATATATTTAGAAACAAATTTCATAAAATAATAAATATTTTTTTTTAGTTCTTTTATATATGTATTAGTTTTTTATTTTTAAGTAACTTTTGTAAAACTCTAGTTTTTATTAATATTTAAATAGTTGTGAAATTGCCAAACGTTATCGCTCCAATTTAATTATTTCTTATTTTTTATACTCCAATTATTCTGTTAAAATTTCTATGCAACACAAGCGATTTATATATATTCATTTTGGTYATACGAAATGAAAAGAGACGAAAGTTATGAAGTAATATCAAATAAAGCTAAATACAGAAATCTCAAAAACCATCGAGTAGTTGGATTCAAATAAAGTACACATACTTACACCAAATTACTTTTTAAATTTATGAACTCATTTAAGAACTGACTACGGTTGCGCCAAAAGTATCGAAATAATCGATAGCTGACTATTTTTAAACAAACTTTTTTAAATTAAATCTTTAAATTAAAAAATAAAATAAATAGTTGGAGCCAAATAGCATATAAATTAAATTTTTTTSAATTCTGGTCATTTTTAGCAATATTTATATTAAAAAMTTACATTTTCTAATAATAATMAAATATAAAAAATTATTAAATATTTAAATGGAGTTAGGGTAATAGTGAACTTGTAAATAGAAATTTGGGAGTGAGTTTGYAAAATCCAAAGCCAATTAAACCTCAGAAGAATTTTTACTAAAAGCACATTTAGATAAGTCTCAAAATGCGGTCCAAACAACAAACTATCGAACTAAAACGGAGAAAAATTAGAAAATCTTTTGAGTCCGGTCTCTAAATGCATTTTCTATTTCAAACACAAAAAATTGCACGTTGCTATGAAATTATCTACTGCTATCGTAATTTTTGTATTTTTCTTTTATAATTTTCTGAAAATTATTCCTCTTCAATATTTTCTTTGTAAATTATTTATACGCTAGTTGAAATTATGAACGCGTTGATTCTTTTACATTTTAGTTTTTCTGTAATTGTTATTTTGTATTTTTTTTGTTTAAACAAACAACAAAAATCCCAAAAACTGAAAACGAAAAAGATTATTTACATTTATACACATTTGAAACCAATTTTTAAAAATTAAGACAATGTGGTCACCACTATTAGTTCGTCCCCTATACTGCTCACCTCGACCGCCGCTGCTGTCGCCGAAGCCAATAATAACCACCACCAGCAACATCATCTCCAACAACAACACAATTCCGCTGCTGCCGCCACATCGACCTATACCACCACAACCACCACTGCCACACCGCTCCACGCAATCAAAACTGAAATTAACGACGAAACGAATCACATTATTGTCAATGGCGATGGGACAACGCTGCAGACGCAGTCGCACCCTCAGTATCATTACATCACCACTACAGGTGAAGATGGACAAACGCCGACGACAATCGTTTTTGAAAACTACAATGGTGAGGTCACTGAAGTGAATGGGGGTGGGGGCGCCACCACGATCATTAAATTTGAGGGTGGCGATACCGAGTATCAAGGATATCAGGTGATAAAACAAGAGGAGGATAACTCAAATGGCATGCACAATGATGGATCGTCAATGGAACAACAACAGCAACAAAACCAACAACAACAACATCAGCAGCAACAACAGCAACCACAATTTACTTATAAAACTATAAAACAAGACCAAGAAATGAATCAAACTATAACCGACACGATAATAGTGCCCGCCAACGGCGTACCAGCGATACCACCGCAAAAACAAAAGCGCAAGCGAAAAACACGTTTGATTTCTCCCGACGAACAGGGCGAGTACTTGGAGAAGATGTCGGTGCGCGGTCTGGACATCCAGCGTTACGAACATATCATTGACGGCGTCTCCTATTGCCTGGTGTGTGCCAAAAATGACGTTTTCAAAACATTCAAAAACAAATACAGTTTCCAACGTCACGCCTACCTATTCCACGAAGGCGACAATCGCAAGATATTCGCCTGCCCCATTTGCAATAAAGAGTTTTCACGTCCCGACAAAATGAAAATGCATAAAAAAGATAAACATGGCGACATGCAAGTACCCGATGGCACTCTTACAACAGCGGCCACACCGGTGAAACAATCGCCAGACACCAATACAGGTAAGCGTCCACGTGCCACCAGCGCACGATCATCACGTGCGCGGAAACCACGCGCCACCATAGCCAACACCGCGACGGCGACTGTCAACAGCGGCAGTGAAGAGAATGCCGTTGAAGCGAAGCGTAAACGCCTTGCGCAAATCGATAGCGTTTTAGATGTCGTGCAGCAGCAAGCAGCCGGCGTAAATGGAACACAGGCGCAAACGACCACTATCAATGTACAACTGCAACAGCAGGCAAACGCACAAGTGCAGGTACAACAACAACAGGCATTGCCGCCCATCGATTTGAGTGGCATGATTCTGCCTGGTGGCGCTCAGCTAGCGCTGGCCAATCCCGGCGCAACGTCTGCGCTTCTCCAGCAACAACGCGTTGCACAACAACAACAACAGCAGCAGCAACAGTCGCATGCCCCACCACCACAGCATATTGCATTGTCTGCGCAAGCAACGCAGGTGCTGCAGCCGTCAGCAACAGCCGCCACTGCTGCTGGCGCCGCTGGCACCACTCTCATTTATTCCAATCAGATTGATTTGCAGCAAGCGCTGTTACAGCAACAGCTGCATGGCCAAAGTATTATGATACAAGATCAAGCTGGCAATTTGGTGCCGCTGCAATCATTGCAAGCGCTCAACGCAACCACCACGCTAGACGGTACGCAAACAATCTACACCACACAGCCGGCGCGTCATGCACAACCGCCGCAACAGTTGCTGCAGCCAACGCACCAAACGACGCCGCCAAATGCCTATCAGCCGGCGCCGCAACAGCATATACAGCTGCAGGCGTTACCAACCGGTTCGCCACAAGAGACTATCATCACAACGACATCGCCTGCCGCGCAGGCTCAGCAGCAACAGCAACAGCAGCTGAAAACAACCACACAGCATCAGCAACAGCACACAAGCAATGTTGTGACACAGCAGCAGCAGCAACAACAACAACAGCACTATGAGCTAGAAAATGTTGCGTATTTGTCGTCGACTGCTGCAACGCCGGCGCCGCCAGAGCAACAACATCAACAACAACAACACCATGTCATCGGCACTGTGCAAAGCTATCAGATACTCACGCCCGACGGTTTGCAAAGCTACCCCACCGCCACAGCGACGACAACCAAGTTGGAACCGAGCGATTTGGCGGAACTTTGTCCATACACTTCAATGACCAGCACGACGCCACATTACACATTCACAACACATGCGGGACATCATGGCGCCACCGCGGACGCGCTGCATCAGCAAGTTGCCGGCGCCACAACTAGTCATACACAGCAGCAGCAGCAGCAGCACCAGTTGACGGCTGGCGGCGGCGGCCAGCAGCAGCATCACATACAGCAGCAGCATCATTTCATGGAGCTCAAGAACGATTTGTTGATTAAAAGCGCAACTGATGCGTACGCGTTGGACGCGAGCTCCATGTATCACCTGCCCTTCTCGCCGTCATCGATGATCAGCTCGGTGAATGATGGCAACGGACAGTCGCTGCTCGAAACCAAAGAGATTAGGTAACACAAATTGTTTCTATATCATTTGCTCTCAATTTATATAATCTCTTATTTTCGTATTTGTAAAAGTAAAATTTGCGAAATTTTGTGGAAAAATAAGTTGAAGTAGTACTGATTGGCGTATGTTTAAACCGATTTTAATATAACTTTTAGATTGTTGTTATTGATTACAGCGCTGCGATTGCCTGACTGCCTGCCCGAACAATCGCCGGCGTGTGTGCGAACGCTAACATGAAAAAGAGACTAACTAAATATTTCAATTGTATATTGTAATAAAATTGTAGAACTTGTTAACAGATCTTCCAGTATTATTTTTTTTACTGTAACGCTAACAAAGTAATAAGTACAAATATAGAAAATGAAAGTATGAAAAGTGCTTTGAATTGTATACGTATTTATTTGTAATAATAATTGCTTTTTGTTAACTTAGTTTAATTTTCATGTTAATTATATTTTTTGGTAGTAAAAGAATTGTAATTATTTTTTGGTATAATTTGTAACGTAATGTATTTAAATTTTAAGCAAATCTTTTAGTATTTACAAAATATTATCGTAAGATGCTGCTAAACGTATGCGGCGTGGACATACATATGTACACTGTTGTTGCGTTGTATTGTTGCTGCTAACTTCTTCTATTGCTCACACACTCTTAATACACTCTTACTCACTACAAACTATACACTCTTTATAAAAGTAATAGATGTGTCAACGCATTTTTAAACGATATGTAAGAAGTAGACAACTTAAAATTATTATTATTTTTAATATTATTTTGTACAATKTTTTTCCAATATAAACAAAAATCATTTATACTTTTAGAGGTTTTTGAATCTCTACAATGTTATGCTTAGAATAGCTTATCCCAATTAATGGCGTTAATGATTGAAATACTACTGTCATTCAAAGTTTGTTTCACTCCAAATTTTAATACAATTCATATTTTCAAGTAGATTTCTCTTCATTGCCGAATAGCGATTTTTAGTGTTGAAACACTATTTGAAATAATTATATTTCACTGCAATATACTATATTTTCAAAGTCATATGTAACAAAAAGGTGTCTGATACTCTTTTAAAAATTTATAAAAATTTCAAAAATAGATATTTTAAAATATAAAAAACGTTCTTAAAGTCCTGTCGGATACWAAAATGTGCCTGAAAAAGGTTTTATTTCAAAATTAACTAGTAAATAATCTAAAATATCACTTTTTCATTTGATGTTCGAGTTTCTTTATACTTCCATCAAAAATAATATTTGTATTTACATTTTTTTTAATCAAATATGTTTTTTTTTGAATGTAGTTTTATATCTTGGAAGTCTAATTAAATTCTCATCTTACATTCCTTATTTATTTCTTTGTTTTGACTTATTTTGTGACTGCATTTTATAAGTATAACAATAAAGTGGTTGAGGGCACTTATATTAATTATTATACTTATTTGCTTTAATTTTGTTTTAGCAGGAGAGTTGAAAAGCACTACATTTGCATTTAGGTTTTTTTATATTAAATTATAATTGTTGGGTACATTTTTGTCCTTTTAATTCATTATTATAAATACAATTAATGATTTAATTGAAAACATTAATTTAATTAAATTTTTGTTTTGTTTTCTTCTTCTCTTTTTCTTATTTTCATTTAATTTTTTTTATATACAAAAATATGTAACAACGCGTAAACATTCAATTTCAACACAACCCATTCACAACTACGAACGCTCAATCAACAACAAACATGTCCTGTGTACAATCCACGCGCACACAYACATACATATATACAACCCACATACACATGTACAAATGCACAACTGTATGAATATAACAAAACAAATGTACAGCTATGATATCAGCGAGGCGGTTCTGTTAGCGCTTTAATGAATAAAAGCATGCCGCTAAGGAGGAATTACCAAAAAAAAAAACGAAACAAATAAAGATTTATAACTTAAATAAAACAAAAAATAATATTAATATGGGAGAAAAAAGATTGTTAAAAGTGTAAAGCCAAAAATCATAATTTTTGCTGAAATGCAAAATAATAATTACTAGATATATAGTAAGCACTCGAAATAAATACAAACACACAATAAAAATAAAACACAAAAATAAAAAACTCCTCGTTTTGCTAACGCGCCAGCAAAAGTAGCAGTTCGTCAAAACGCGAAAGAAACCGACTTTCGTGTTTATTTAGATGAAATTTTTGTTATTATATCAACATTAGCTGCATACTACTGCTACTACAGTTCAATAAAATTTGTACCAGAGGTATGTGTTTTCTTAAAAAAATATATTATGTTCTTTTTTTTTGTTGTTATTTATACTTTTAGTTGTTTTCTCGTTTTTTTATTTTTTGTGGTATCGTTTTCCACATTGATTTGGTCAACGAAACCAAAAAAATAAATATAGTGTTGAATCGAATGGCTATGGAATAGGTATTGACATTTGAGTTTCTAAGCTGATGTTGGTGTATATCTTGGGTTGATTTTGAAGTTATAATTATCTCTTAAAAATATGCTAAACTGGCATTTTTAATACCGATTTCAAATTGGTTTTGTGTGAAATTTTTAAAATTGTTTGCCTGGTGTGAGTTTGTGAAATGCTTTAGTTGTATCAGGAGTATGGTTTTACAAATCCGAAATTTCGAAAATTTCAAATTGGATTTTATGTGGTTGATATGGAAACTAAATTCTTCTAAATAGATAAATTTCAATTTTAAAATTGTTTTATAGGTTGTTTCGTATCAGCAAAGTTTTCAACAAAGGAACTTAGTTGTACGCTTTTGTTTTAAGCATAATTGCAGATTTCTACCTATGGTTGTATGGATATTTGTTGTATTTTTCAAACCTTTTCGCTTTTATACAATCATCCGATAATATAACATTTTTATTTTTGTTTCGGTTAATTTTTTATTACTACATCCTCTTTACATTTTTGACTTTTTGTGTTCATTAAAACATTTTTACTTCTAAGTTACCTTTTTTTGCTTTGTTAAATCCAACAATTCATATTAATTAATGCACATTGTTATGTTTTACACACTCACCTACGCAGAACGCATTTTTGTTTTCCTTGCAGGTATATATGTATGCTTGTATTAACATATTTATGCATTCATCAAATTTTCAAAATTTATTTTATATACTGTATGTATATATTTATATTATGTATGTA